TGCACGTGTTTGAAAGATTAACACTGCACAGTAGAATACAAGCATTTTTCCTGGATGCATTTTACTCCCCAAAAGTAAGGCAATTCAGTCTTCAAGTAAAAAGGAGCACACAGTCTCCTTTGTATGCATTAACTAAATCAGAACCCTAACAAGGAAAAAAAAATCTCTTTAAAATACACACACTGTAAATCAAAGTTTTTGATAAACAGTTACGGAGTGTTATTAATACATTGCCCATGACACACAAAAAAATACTTAACAGAAATGTATCTAGCAGAAGCACTGCATTATTAGGGGCAGCAGGAGACACAGGATGTTCTCTGTTTTGAGTTACTATTTTGATGTATAACATTTTAGCACTTCAGTTCCATTCAGAATGAAGTTTCCAGTAATGAATCGTGCAAAACTGCATAGTTATTGATGGGCTGACTTTGACAAGCCAGAGCAAATGCATGCTATCCAAACAGGGAGATGGCAAAGGTTATGTTCAAAGATATCTTCTAAATAAAGTCATCTTCTTCTCTTAGGACCTAAAAATCCCAATTCAAGTTCCATCACAACCCACTCATTGCAAAAGAAGCCTTGGCTACAGGGGGTGACTTAATAAAGCTTGAGATATTACTCCAGATTCAAGTCTTTTCAGAGGGCACTGAAGACTCCTGTGGCAATTCTTTGAGCAAAAGAACAAATGCTCATATTCTGGACTAATCCACTTCAGGTTAAAGTAATCCAGCCTCTCGACAAACCCTTTGGGATTCTAAGCTATGATGAAAGGTAGTATTTATTGATTAAGTTCCATTTAATTTTTCATTAAGCATTAAGGTCTCAGTAGTTTAGGGCTACGATATGTTTAAACATTAACTTTATTGAAGCTTACACACAAATAAAAAATGTATTACTTTTACCAGTTTATAAACCTGAACACATTAAATGCTGGCAAATGTTAACTATTCTTCAATCCATAAAACCAATGTGGTTTTCACCAGGCCTCATTTTAGCATAAGGCTGTAGATATAGCATGCTTTGGATGGCCTTTAAGCAGATTTTAGTTATCAATAGGATGAAGTCATTTGAAACTGTGTGCATCCTATTTTTTTGTTACTAAAGATAAATGCAGAGAAAGACATTGCATAGTGTTATTAGCTTATTATCATTCATTAAACCCGGCTACTGTATATTTGTAAAGTCTCAACAAAATAACATAATATTTTGAAAAACAACATGCTATGCTTTTTCTAAAGGTCCTTATGGCACCATTTCCATGTAAATCCTCTTGAAATCACTGATGAATGTGCACAACCATCCAAATAGCTCCTGAGAATCCTGATCTCCTGGCTCTCCAAATTTAACCTTAAAAAAACAAACAAAAAATACGTTCAAAATATTTCTTTAGTGCTTCTATCACTTCAACGATAAACTCCTGCAAAGTATAAACGGAAGAAAGAAGAAAAAAATAAATTCATCGGATGAAATCAGAAGAATGGAACATCTGAAAAGAAGCAACAGCTCTAGCCCCTTCCTTTCTGCAATCCCATATCAAATTGTAATGGTGAAAATTACATAGAAAAATAAAATGGCATGGATTTTTAGAAACAATTCAACTGCATTATATTTTGTGTACCATGAAAATCCCATCCATCCATCTGCTTTATCCAATTCAAGGCTGCAGGGGAGCTGGTGCCTATCCTGGCAAGCAACAGGCATAAGACAGGATACACCCTGGACAGGATGCCAGTGAGTAGCAGGACACACACCCGCCTCAGGCCAATTGTCCCAGAAGCCAATTAACCTACCAGCATGTTTTTGGACTATGGGAAGAAAACCATGTGAACACAGGCACAACCTACAATCTCCACATAGATTGCAACCCAGGTCAGGAACTCAACCTAGGGCCCCAGCACAGCTAGAATGCATTGCTAACCACTGCAATGATTATCACTGCAAATTGGCAGGTTGGTACCACTGCATGGAAGCATTTTTAACCCACGAAAATTCCTCTCTCATTCTGAAATGAGGAGACTCAATTCTCAAACAGCTAAGGCAGCTGTAGTTTTGGAAGTGAAATAGAATTCATGTAGAGTACCTAAAAAAGTGTTCTTTTCTGTAATGCTTCTCGGCTGAAGGATATTGCAACATTTCCTCTACTGTATATTAACACTGATTTACTTTCATTAACAGCTTTACAAGTGTGAGAAAAGCTTAGACTGCATAGCAGTTTCCCTGGCGATTTCTCTATAATTGCATGTCCTGTCAAGGCTTGCTAATTACATAACTTGAAATATGCTTTTGATTGATCACTTGACAAGCTGGCAACTAGGCCAGCTAGCTGTAAAACACCCATTAATAGCTAACTAGAATTTATATTAATTTATTTTTACACTATAATGTCCCATGCTTAACAAAGAAATAGGAATTTGCTATGCACTATTAGGGGTTTGTTTTAAGTATTGAAGAGAACCAGCATTCAGTGATGTAGAATATTTGCTAATTTACAGTACATGGGTGTTTCAAGAAATTATGGCAAATAAAACAAGTGATCTATAAGGCATGATCTGTAGAGCTGTCTGCAAATCTCACGAAAACACAACACAGCAAAAACGAAAATAACATTGTGTTCATTGTGCAGAGATAATTTTAGTTATGTGCGCAATTTCTCTTTTAATGTGGAGCAAAAAGGAACCTGATGGCAAAACGGTTTCTTTAAGATAATGATGCACATCTAAGCAGAATAATTCAAATGTTCTTCAGACACTTCGGGAAAATATGCTTCCTTTCTAAGATGTATATAGTAATGGTTTGTGCCGATTAACATAGTTTCCAGTATACAGTAGTTTATATGGCACAAAAATGTTCATATGCAGTATATACAGTAGCATATGCAGAAAAAGGACTAAAACAAGTGAAAAATAAACTACACTTTTTCTGCAGCTTTGTTTTCAGCATTGGCATCCATTACTGCAACTGACATTTAGTTTCTCTCATGTTAATAAACATATCTAGCAGGCCAATGTGACCTTTAGTTATTATCTCTAAAAAATATTTACTCTTCCTCCTCTATTCTCTGTAAACCATGAAAAATCAAACTGAGCCACCTAGACACTGCCAGCTCAGAAACTGTCTATCTCTGGCAGAGAGACCAAAAGACAAAGATATCACATGTAAAAGCCAGGGATTACCAATATGTCAGAGTAGAGTTTCTTCATCTCATCGCATTTCTTCGTCAGATGGGATAGATCAGCCTTATACTTCCGGATGACTATCTACAGCACATAATAAAACATAAAATTACCTTTCATTACTTTGTGTATCAATTATACATGAAGATTTATAAACATGCCTCTGTGAGATCTGGAAAGCATGACCACCTTGTAGAATCATTTTAGCTTTAAATTAAAGTGGTAACCTGGCAGAGTTAAATGCGGAAAATACACCATTCCTATGGATAACAAGGAACCTTATGATGAAAATAAAGTTCTCATTAAAATGCAATTTTAGACATTTTTGAATTCCACAGGTGGTTATACATAAACCAACACTGGTTTTCTTTTTACACTTTCAATTAAAATAACATTAGAAATTTACTGAAAATGCATTAAAGTAAAGCCAATGACACTCATGGGCCTGGAGGGTACACAGCATCTTTTAGTTTATTCTCAGTTCATAATGACTTAATTGTGTTCATTATTGATTTAATCAGTGTTAATAATTACTGCTTCCAAATCTTTAGTCCTTGAAAACATGGCTTTCACTGTAAAAACTGCAGAGACTGTGTAGCTTTTGAAAACGAAGTGGGGATCTTTTCCATGTACTTAGGAGACTCATTTTCTGATCATCAAATGGTGTACTCCTCAATTTAATTTATTAATCATTTCCCCCATAAGCCTCCTCAGTAAAGAGACCTTTACTCAAAGAATGAGAACTCTCCCTGCCTTCTAACAGCTCTTTAGAAGTTATCTAAGACTATAAGAATAGTTACAAACAAAAAAAGACCATCCAGCCCATTTACAGTAGCAGGTTTTTTTTAGATCTCAGTAGTTAATTGATTCAAGGATCTCAACCAGCTGTTTCTTGAAAGAAGAAACTACAGTAAGTATGAGGTTCAAAACCATGACTAGGCAGTTTGTTGGATACTCCCACAACCCATTGAGTGAAGATGTGCCTCCTGTTCTTAGTTTTAAATGTCTAAATGTTTCCATGTCTATCCTCTGGTTCATGTTTCACTGTTAATTCTAAATCTGTACATTGAGTTGGTTTGTTATTTACTGTATAAGATTTTGAGTTCGTATTTCAAGACTTCTGAAAATTGAAATATACTGTACCATATTTTCTGGTGAGTCCATATCCATTACTGCTGTTTTTAATGAAAACCTATCTTTTTTAAATCTATGTTGACCTTCCCTTAGAATTTTCACATGATAGAGATGTTCTGTTAATTTATTTCAAATTACTGTTTCCATAATCTTACATGTAGTAAAAATAAGAGTTATTCATCCGCAATTACTTGTTTCTGTGTCCTTTTTTATGGATGACCACTGCACTGCCATTTTTCCAATCAGTTGGTATTACCTTTGTCTCAAGGAAAATGTACATTAATACCCTATTAATAAATCTTGCTTCATTAAGTACAGCTGGTATCATACTGTACCATCAAGCATAGAGATTTATATATCTTAATGCTTCTAGCTGAGAAGTTGGGATATAATTCCTACCTTTGTCTACACATCTGTAATTACAAATATTTAGAAGAGCAATTTAAATAGTCATTGGGAAGCAAAGAGTGATCCATTAACATGAGGACAGGGTGAACACAGATTTCTGTTTACTAAATGTCTTTGCAACACAACACCTAATATACAGTAGCACATTTATGAAATGGAAGTCGAAAAGCAGAAAATGGTCTAAAGATATTTAATTAAGATAATAAAGATAATGCACAGGTTAATTAAAGAATAAATTAGTCCTACAAATTAAAAAGTCAGGTGGAAAATAGGAGATATTGTGCTCCAATTATTACATTTGAGAATGAATGGCTCCAAGGACCATATTCAGTGTCAATCAATTGTACTGTGATCAACTAACAAACTACAACAATCTACAAATACTGTACTTCTAATCTCTTGGAAATACTTCCACAATCTCTGGATCATATCTTTTTCCTGATTCCAAGAAAATGTCCTGTTTTTTTCCTTCCACATGGTAGAAACATGTACACTTTATTCTTTCTGACATGCTGAGGGTCTTCACATTGACTTTTCTAAAATTAGAATTCATTTCAGCACAGTGATAACCTTTATACTGTACTGTATGTAGTGCTTCGAAGCATTATGTGTTATTAAGTAAATGTACTACATTGGGAAAAGATGAAGGCCTTGAGAGTTATGGATTACCCACAGATACAACATGCTTCGTTCAGTTTAACTGTTATACAGTAGTATGTAGAGATTTCTATACCCTTATAGGAAACTACTGTACAACTGTTTTCTCTGAGTTATACTGTATACTGCCTGTTAGATATTAAAAATATAAGGTAACAATATATACCTTCAAGTCTTCACAAAACTTTGGATGTTGATTTCCTTGGTTTTTTGGTTTGTAAGCCTTTTTGTACTGAATAATTTTCTGAAGCTCATTCTTCAGAACTGTAAGATGAAAATTGTAACAATCATACATATTTGCAATTGACCACTGAAGGTTAATAAATAACCATAACTTCAATATGTACTGAAGCATAACATCAATTTTAAGTTATACACTAAATTGCACAATGTGCATCTATGTGTACTATTCCGTACATTCTAAAAATCAGTAATGCATGTTGATTCACATAAGAATTATATAAGAAATGTACATTTCTAGGCATTAACAAAATAAGGCATTCAAAACCATTTTCTCATTTGTAACAGAGATTAATTAATATTTAATTAGATGTTTGGACATTTCTTTCCCTTATTTCAATCTTTTTACATAAACTGGCCATTTCAGCATTAATTAGTAATTCATTAAAATAAATAAATCAAATAAATAAGCCATCTCTGCTTTATATGGTCCTGATATAACTTTGTTCTTTAGATTAATGGTCATAGACAAAACCAAATAAGCTTCTTCAAAGAAAAATACATGAGATGTACTGTACAGCACAGCTTGTTTGATAAAACTGTGTGACATTAAAGGACATTTTCCTAAGTGACATACCATCCACCTCTGCTGTAAGTCCTTTTATTGATGCTAGAAATAAAGGGAAAAAAAAGTGTTAGTTGAACTAATTGTCAACTACATGATGCCAGTGATTTTCAGTTTTGATAAAAATTTCATTAGCTTACCCCCTGGAACGGCTTCAAATTCTGTCAACTCCTGGAAAAATGGTGCCACGACAGGATCATGTAACATTATCTGCTCGACAAGGGCATGCAGCAAGGTGAACTTCCTGTGTTTCCCACGCAGCTGTGAGAGCTGTGAAGAACAGTGGACACTGTAGAGATGTTGCTCCACCCAACACAGAGCAGGGCATTGCACAGAAAAATCCTTATAGGGCTTTATCTCTGCGAGCATTTGTCATTGTGCTGTTTAGAATGAAGTGACAGTATAGTTTTCTTATTTAGACACTGATTGAGTTCTGGGTTGGGTTTAAGGTGAAATTAAGCTTTTCAAAGCTAACCTCTACTGTAAAACATTCATAAACATTCAAAAAGAACAAACGTGACCTGGGACAAGAGTAAACTAAGGAATAAATATCTATGGAAAGACAAATGTCAATCAATAATCTCTCCCAAGAACACAAATTGGTTACCCACAAGGGGAGTTTTGCTTGAAATACTTTCCAGGGCAAGGACTAAATGAATTTGTTTCATAATGAAGTTGATTGTAAAATTGAGTGCTAATGTTCAACTCTGAGAAACACCAGGAAAACGGGTTCACCATTGTGGATAAAGTGAAAGACAAGCTGAACATAGGTGAAATGGGACTCACCCACACCCTTCTTCCTGAACTAAGATTTTAAGGATCAAAATCTTTCACTTGCCTAATTGAAGATTAAAAGGGGCTTTACTTTTTAACTAGACTTTGAATAATTTAGGGCTTCCCAGCAGTATTCACAAAGCCAATACCTTGAGCTCTTTTGGGTAGGATGTACAGTACGTATGAGATCCTTGGATTAATTGGCTGCTAGCAATGAAATAAGCTAGATGGCCTCAATGACCTCCTCTTGTTCATAACCTTTCTTATGTTTTTATGAAATGCTCCACAGCATCATTATTATAGCCCTGCATAATGAAAAGAGTGAAGGTCCTCTAAAACAACCATTAAAACTCTTAAAGTGTTTTCACACCTTACAAATATCAGCCCTCTATATAATAATAATAATGATAATAATAATAATAATAATAATAATAATAATAATAATAA